AGCAGATAATCTCATTGTCACCTCATCCCCATCCTGCTGTTTGTTGTCCACACTCATAGCATCAGATCCATTACTAGCTTTCGTGGCAAGAACCATGTCTTTGAGTTGTAAAGCATATAGTGTGCATTTGGATGCTTTAAAAAACAAAAAATGAAACATTAAAGTGCTGCCAGATTCAAAAGATTATATGCTCTGGACTATGTACTGTGGTAAAAATAGCAAAAATAGTAAGAACATTTAAGTGATTGGAACTGGGTAATTTCAAACAGAACCATTGTTTTTGTTTAGTCTTGTATGTATGTGTGATGGAGCTTCACTCATCCTTAGAGCACCCTGTTGCGTCGCCAGTATCCTGGGCTCTTTCTGCAGGCTGTCTGTCTCTCACTGGGTCTTCTGTGGCTCAGTCTTCTGGCCAACTCATAAAATCCAAATACCTTTTGAGGTAACAGAATGGTCCAAATGAAATTCAAAAAATAAATCTTAAAACTAAAAACTGCTTCTGCTTTGCCTTTTGAACGGTTGAAGTCTTCTGCTTCTGGGCTCCTTTTCCTGGCCCCTGCAGAGCTTCTCTTCCACAGCAGGATAGTCTCACTTACAAGTCCTACCCTCAAGACTTCTTCCACAGGAGCCTAAGCTGGTCCCAGTGGGTTTCTTCCATCTATTGTACCCTAAGCTAGGGTTCCCCCCACAAAGTAGCCTACTCTGCTCCCTGGTGGTCTTCCTACTCCCTTTCCAGGAGCCGGACTCAAACTGTAGGCCACTCTGGTGTAGAGGGAGACACCGGCTCCCTTTCTAGAGCTTATTGACAAGAGCGCCTCCCTGTCTCCCTTCTCCAGGGACCACAATAGTTCTATTGTGACTCTTATTGTCACCTGTAAATCTTCATTCAGAGCTTGTCCCCAGAGAGGTGTATTCTAACCCCCCTCTTGTGGGTTCCTCCAGGCAGCAACAGCCAAGGGCTTCTCTAGAGAGAACTTTTTGTCCCACCTTTCCTTCTAAGTAACTTTTTCTTGATGCTTTTCTAGCAGACTCTTTCTAGCTCAGCTGTTCCATTATTAATTAACTAAAGAGTGCCACCTGGAGTACCTGATTGCTCCCAGGTGTGGCCCACATGGTCCAGGTATACCCTAACTCTCCTGAAGGTCCATTGGCCCTTTTAAGATTAATGAATGAAGAAACACAGACCTAATTATCAGCAGTTGATATAGAGCTCCTCCTAAGTGTCAGATAAGTTACTTTAGTATTGTACTTTTAAGTGACTGCTCCATCACTGCTTTAAAATTTCTACTGTGCTATGCAAAGATCACCCTACTACTGTTTCCTGGCCACAATTCTTAGCTGAAAACTTTCAAAAAATTACTACCTTTTATAAAAGCTAGATTGGCTTTCCTTTTATGATGATTTGTATCTGGTTCTGAAACACAAGCTAGATATAGTAGCTAATGCAGAGGACTGGTAAAAAAGTATAGTTTATTTAGAATTTGGGTAAATTGCAGAGGTGATGGTGCAATCTGCACCATTTCTGATCTAAATGCAGTGGGAAGAATGTTTGGAGGTACGTATATCTGGCAGGCATGAAAAAGCAGAGCAGAATTACCATACGCATTTTGGAGGAAACACCAGTCTTCACAAAATTGGGTAAATTAGAACAATGGGATGGTATAATGCAAATTGGGATTGAGGAAAGCAACCAAATGTATCCTCGTCAGAGGTTTTTCCCCTCTATTTTGGTCTCCTGCGAACAATTTCTCTCAATGGAGACTTGAACCCTGGACCTTCATATCCCAAAATAGCAGCTCACTCCACCTTTTTAACTTGAGAAGGATATTGCAGAATTGTGTTATCCTGTCCTTTCCACTCTCATTTAGTTTAACCAGCTGCCATATCTTGTTTTAAACCAGGGATCGGCAGCCTTTGGCACGCGGCTCGCTAGGGTAAGCGGGCTGGGTCGGTTTGTTTACCTACCACGTTCACAGGTTCGGCCGATTGTTGCTCCCGCTGGCCGCGGTTCGCCACTCCAGGCCAATGGGAACTGCAGGAAGCGGCGTGGGCCGAGGGATGTGCTGGCTGCCGCTTCCCGCCAGCCTCATTGGCCTGGAGCAGCGAACCGTGGCCAGTGGGAGCCGCGATCAGCTGAACCTGCTGACACGGCAGGTAAAAAAACCAGCCCAGCCCGCCAGGGTGCTTACCCTGGCGAGCTGCGTGCCAAAGGTTGCCAATCCCTGGTTTAAACTAAGCTTGTAAACTCTTTGGAGCAAGGACCATCTCTTATCTCTATAGATAACACAAGAGGGCCCTTCTCTGGTTTGCAGGTGTAGACGCTACTGTAATACTGCTGCTGATCCCTTATTTGTTGTTACCACATTCTCTTTAAGCAGAAGACATCTGTAAAAACACGGTTGGTTAGCTCCTGCTTCTGGCCTGAACTGCAACATCCTTGCTGTTGTGACTCATTGTGGTCTGATGTTGCTGTTACTTTATTTTGCTATTTAATATGCTTGACAATTCTATAAATGAGGAAATTAGGTGTAATTGTAGGACAAGGATGTTAATGTTAAGCTGCCATGAATACACACTTTTTGTAGAATTGAAAACAAAATGAAACTTGAAAAGGCTACCATAACAAGTAATACAAAGAGAAAAAATACTCTTTGAAACAGGATGTTTTTAAGGCCTTCCTTCCCACACAGTTTTTGTGAGATGGGTTTAACAGTGTTTGGGGAGTAATAGATATGTTACCACTTTAGTTTACATATATTTGCAAAAACAGCAGTCCTGTTTGATTGTAGTAAGAGTTTTTGTTTGTTTTAAAGGTTAGTCTTTGTTTGAATAGGATATACATATGGGTCTATGCCCATAGTATTTTGGGATGACAGCGCGCACACACGTGTTTTTACAAAAATATTAATGTTTGACATGAGGTTAAGACAGAGTTGAAAGCAGCAACGTAACAGTTCTGAGGGAGAGATGCTGGCTGGCTGAAGATATTCAAAGAACTGCATGTTATTTTAAGCCTTCAGGACCTGAATTTTCTTTTTACCTGTGTGAATATTGATTCTCTTGGAGTCAAATATGGTGTTGCCTGACTTAAATGCTGTATTTGAGGAATCACTATAGTGTAGTGTTGCAAGCAAAGGACCCGGTCCTGTAAACTCCTTCACACACAAGTAAGTTGATGCAATAGTCCTGTTAAGCTTACCAAGACTACTTATGTAAAGATACTCACATTAATAACTGTTTGAAAGGCCGTGACCTGATTTAGCAGTATATCCACAGAAGAACTTTGAGGCAACTTAGGGGCACAGAGGGCTAGGATTTTAGTAGAAAATAAGGTCAGAGGCAGACTGAAGAGAATGCTAGACCTATGATTCTTAAGTCAGTGAGTTGTTTGTTGTTTTCTGTGTCTCTGTCTTTCGTTATTAAACCAGTTGTAGCACAAGTAAAGTGTTCCAGCCTTTCTGTATCCACATTTCACATTGCTGCTCCTGGAGTTCTTAAAAGTAAATGTAAATTTTAAACTCTGCAGCTGTTGCTTTTGCTGTCAATTACTCTTTGTTCAAGATAATTACAGACTGTGTGCATATAGTAAATGAAAATAGACTGGGGTAGACTATTGATTCTTTTTCCACTCACTTCTCACCAGTAAAAAAATGTACTAACTCCAGAGCTTTGTCTACATTAGTTGTCAGTTCTGCTTCCCTCACCAATTAAATCAGGAGTGCAGAGGGGGGAAGGACATGATCCCGTTCCCCAATTTCTCTATTTAGACCCCTGCTGCCTCTGACTCACATAAAAACGTTTAAGCAGGAGGGCTTCCTGTTTCTGCTGCCTCATGGGGCAGTGTCTCATAGTTTTTTTAAGAATTCATTTTGTACTGTTTGGCCTTCATCTTTTTATAATGTGAGGATTAGGTTTACAATATTTTTATATAGTTAACAGAATTTACATTTCTATTGCTTTCTAATCTAAATGTCTAAAGTGTTGTGAAAGCCATATATTCCAGGGTTGTTGTTTTTTTTAAATTGGAGCAACTTGTGATGGTGGATTCTTTTTCATTATTTCTTGTAATCCTGTAGAAATTCTGCTAGCTCTTTAAACAGTGTTGAAAAATAGAAAATACACCAGATTCCTTTCAGTCTTTTTGCTTTAAAACTGCTGGGGTGTGGTGGTTGGGGAGAGGTAAGGTCCCAATCTTGCAAACATACATGAGTAATTTTATGTACATAAGTAGTTCCCTAAACTCAGAGGATCTACTTATGTGCAAAGATGCATGCAAGAGTGTTTCTCTGTAGAATCAGAGCCTTATTTTGTAGTAAGAGAGAGGTCATGAAATACTGTCTGAGTGACTAACCTATTTTTATGACAGGCTTGAAAACCTGCCTTAACTCCAATATTTCCACATTTTCCAATGTGTAAATAACCACCTTAACTTTGGCTTATCTGGCTTTCAGATATTGGTGGTAATTGTTTTTTAAATTACAGTGTTCTGTTGTTCTCCCATTTAAGTTATTGATACATATTTACAACCTTACATTAAAATTAAAAAACTATTGTGACCACACTGCAGCAAAGCATTTTAACGCCACATAATAAAAAGAAAGTGTCTGTTATAATTTTTCTAACTTCTGTAACTGCCATTCACTGTGCTGAGCTGACCTTGAAGGGAGTTCATGAACAAATGAAATAAAGGTGATGAAATGAAAGGACTTGATGGGAGATGCAGTTACTGTTGAAGGGAGAAAATGTATAGAATTGTCTATTTTCACTAACTAACTTCATATGCATTGAGAACATTCTCACTACATGTATGTCGGTTTTTGAAATATGCATTTACATGCATGTGCAGACAGTATACTGAATGTTTCAATACATTGCTGGAAGATGAGACCAGTAAATTGTGCAGAAAGTTTGTCTCTTACATGGTGAATTCAGTATATTAATATAAAATAGCAGCTAGAAGTTGAACTAAAAACCTCACATTTGCTGTTTGTTTTCTTTAGACACCTAGCTGTTGGGCAGAAGAGGGATCAGAAAAGAGATCGCATCAGCGTTCAGCATCATGGGGGAGTGCTGATCAACTAAAAGAGGTAAATAGTTTTACATGAAGTAGGTACTCGACAGGCCAAAATTGTAATGCATTTTTTAAAAAAGTTTCACGCTAGTATTTTGGAGCCTGGAACGGTGTCTGTGTGCACACCATCACCCATGCAGATTCCGCCCCTAGTTCAAGACAGTGACTTTAGAGCTGCTTTATTTTGTGCCAGCTGAACCATCTCTCCCCAGCTCAACCTTTTGGCCCTGGAGGAGGAGCAGGAGTGGTTGGTGTAGAGACAGATTTGCCACTTAGGAATTTTCCCTATTCAGTGAAAGTTTCCAGAGTAGCCTCCCAGAGAATAGTTATCAGTGGTTCACAGTCATGCTGGAAGGGCATAATGAGTGGGGTCCCGCAGGGATCAGTTCTGGGTCTGGTTCTGTTCAATATCTTCATCAATGATTTAGATAATGGCATAGAGAGTATACTTCTGAAGTGTGCGAACAATACCAAGCTGGGAGGGATTGCAAGTGCTTTGGAGGATAGGATTAAAATTCAAAATGATCTAGACAAACTGGAGAAATGGTCTGAAGTAAATAGGATGAAATTCAGTAAGGACAAATTCAAAGTACTCCAATTAGGAAGAAACAATCAGCTGCACACATACAAAATGGGAAATGGCTGCCTCAGAGGGGATCTGGGGGTCATAGTGGACCACAAGCTAAATATGAGTCAACAGTGTAACACGGTTGCAAAAAAAGCAAACATCTTTCTGGGGTTGTATTAGCAGGAGTGTTGTAAGTAAGACACGAGAAGTAATTCTTCCACTCTACTCAGTGCTAATTAGGCTTCAGCTGGAGTATTGTGTCCAGTTCTGGGCGCCACATTTCAGGAAAGATGTGGACAAATTGGAGAAAATCTAGAGAAGAGCAACAAAAATAATTAAAGGTCTAGAAAACATGACTTATGAAGGAAGATTGAAAAAATTGGGTTTGTTTAGTCTGGTGAAGAGAAGACTGAGAAGGGACATAACACTTTTAAAGTACATAAAAGGTTGTTAAAAGGAGAAGGGAGAAAAATTGTTGTTCTTAACCTCTGAGGACAGGACAAGAAGCAATGGGCTTAAATTGCAGCCAGGGAGGTTTTAGGTTGGACATTAGGAAAAATTTCCTAACTGTTAGGGTGGTTAAGCACTGGAATAAATTGCCTAGGGAGGTTGTGGAATTTCCTTAAAAATCTTAAGTGATGAGCAGGTTAGACAAACACCTGTCAGGGATGGTCTAGATAATACTTAGTCCTGCTGTGAGTGCAGGGGACTGAACTAAATGATCTCTCAAGGTCCCTTCCAGTCCTGTGATTCATACAATGAATGAGGCATATTACTTTTTAAGAGCTCAAGAAGTGGAGCAAATTAAGTCATGGCTGGTCATGATTTTTGAGGCTTGGTGAGGAAGAGGCTAAGTGATTGAAATCAGGAAATAGATGCAGCATTAAAATGTCTATGGGGATGGATATATTAATTAATTGAAGTAAAGCTTTGTGAGTTGTCTCATTATGCTTAAGTTTGGGTTATATTTCATTTAAAAAAAAAAACCCTACTGTAAACCAATGTTAAGATTGCAAAGTTTAGTACTCAAAAGTTAGAAAATACAAGAATTAAGGTTGTCTGAGCAGTGTTTGTTTACACAATTAAAATTTTTTTTCCACAGGACCCCTGCCTCATTCAGTGCACAAGATGGATAGTGCTCACTGAATTAGCAGCTGTTCAATATTTTGTGTTATCTTTATTGTTTAATGTGTGGTTGTAGGTGTTTTTTATTGCACACTATTCAACTTTTGCCCTGAATACAGAATCATTAATTTCTTGGGGGCTTTTCTGTGGTGTTCATCACTACAGTATCTGAGTCTTCACAAACTTTAATTTATTTTCACAGCAACCTTGCATGGAGGGTGTGTGAGATATCACCATTTTACAGACTGAGGTATAGACAGATGAAGGTTGAAAGTGTATACTAACATTGGGAGTCCAGCTTGAAATGGCTAGGACGTGATATTTCAACTAGCACTTTAGATGTTCAAACCACAGTTCCCATTGACTTCAGTTGTAGCTGTGAATGTTCAGCACTTCTGCAAATCAGACCCCTGTGGTCTCAAGTTTCACACCGGAAAACAAAGATTACAAAATTGACTCCCTGTGAAAAATTTGTTTTAAATGACTTGCCTAGCATCACAAGGGAAATCTCTGGCAGATCCAGGTCTGGAATCCAGTTCTCCAGGTCAGACTTCAGCTGCCTTAGGCATGAGACCACTTTTCTCTTCCTGACATTCTTTACCTAATTAGCTTCCCACCTTCTGATTTCTGTAACAAATGAGGCATGAGTCCTACAGAAGACAGCCTCTTTTCACTACACTACCCTGATTCATCTTCAGAGATTGGTCATCATTAGGGTTAGAACCTTTAGATGCATAGCACAGATCTTTACCACTTCAGCCAACAATAACTGATGGTTCTTCTTCAAGTGCTGGTTCCTGTGTGCATTCCACACATGGGTACACATGCAGTCCATGCACCTCAGACGAGAGAATTTTGCAAGTAGTGTCCATTGGGCCACACCTGTGCCCTGGCACTCCTCATGCTTCGTATTGAGGATATAAGGAGAGGTGTGGACCATAGGCGCCAACTTTTTCGGGCGCCAGTGGATGCTCAATCCCCACCCCAACTCCGCCCCCTCCCTGCCCCTATTGGACTCCTTCCCCAAATCCCCACCCCATCCCCGCCTCTTCCCCAAGAGCACCATGTTCCCCCTCCACCCCCTCCCTCCCAGCACTTGCGAGCACTGGGAGCTAGGGGGAGAAGCAGAGCCGCGGCGTGCTCAGGGGAGGAGGCGGATGTGAGAGAGCTGCCGCTGGGTGCAGAACACCCACCAATTTTTCACCGTGGGTGCTCCAGTCCCGGAGCATGCACGGAGTCGGCACCTATGGTGTGGACTGACAGCCTCTCCAGTTCCTTCTTACTGCTTGAATCAGAATCCTCTATGTCCAAAGCTTTTTTTGTCTTTCTACCTATAAGTACTTCTGTATATATTATTAGAATTTAGTGTTTTTAGTGCTTTAGGAGTTCTACAGTTAAAGTAGAGTAGTTTTCCTCATCTCGGGGACCCTTCCCATTTTTCCTACCTTGGGAGAAGGACTATGTGCAGAATCCAGGATTTAAGAACTGTCTCCTGTCTCCTGCCTCCGCTCTTTCTCAGTCAGCAGTGACCATCAGCGATGCTTTAACTGCCCTGGGGAGGTTCACATCTCTTCCAAGTGTGGCATTTGCCGCTCCTTTCCTCTTTTAACCTGAGAGAGATGATTGCTTCAATTGAGGGAGTATCTCTTGCAGAAGGCCATGAGACCCTGCAGTCTGCAAGCAGCGCTCCTCCGAGCACAAACTCTGGAGCAGAGGCCAAAGCTGATTAGTCAAAGGAATGGTTGCCTTGCATGAGAGTAAGAGGCACTCTCATAGGAACCAGAGCAGATTCCCTTCTAGGTTTGCTCCTAAAAGAAAGGATCCCTCCCTGACTCTGTCCTGGTTTTGTGAGTCTTTGTGTACAAGTCCTAAAGACTTAGGTCTGCCTAAACCTCCCACCCACAAGGGTAAGGTGTGAAAGAGAGAGGATCTGTTGATATTGGCTCCAGTTCATGAACCAAAGGATCAGCACCCACTGGCATCAACAGAGAGCTCCAAGTTGGACTCCTCTTAGACAGCACTTGACTCACTTCTGTAAGGATTTGTTGACCACCATGTCCATGGACACACCGGATCAGTTCTGACTACTTGGCACCCTGCACTCTGGCACAGACTAACACTTATAACTTTCTGGAGGATATTTGCACCTTTCCTTACCTTCAATCCCCTCTTTTTTCCGGATCTCGTCCTCGTAAGGGACATCTTGACACAAGGACAGAAACCCACCTTAATGAAAAGGAGTTACTCCCCTACTCTGTCCATAAATTGGCATCTTCATCTGCTGTTACTGATGACATCCCTGATGTAGCCAGAATCTCCCTTCTCGTTGGCTGAATCCAACGTCTCAGACAAGTCATCACCTCCACATACAGAGGCTAGCGGTTGGCCTGAACAGAGTCTCTAGGACAGTGGCTCTCAAACTTTTTTCCTGGTGACCCCTTTCACATATCAAGTCTCTGAGTGCGACCCCCCCACCCCTTATAAATTAAAAACACTTTTTTATATATTTAACACCATTATAAATGCTGGAGGCAAAGCGGAGTTTGGGGTGGAGGTTGACAGCTTGTGACCCCCTGAGGGGTCCCAACCCCCAGTTTGAGAAACCCCTGCTCTATGATGTCTCGGACCCATCCTCCAGCCAGACACAATTATCTGGGAAACCGATGGTACCCAATGCCTTGGGGTCCCTCTTTATATAACTAATCCATGGGATCCCTATTTCCCTAAGGACAGATTCCAGGCCATGAACAGCCTGATAAGAGAAGTCCCCTACAGACCAGGTCTCTGGCTGCATCGTCCTTTGCTGTCCGTTAGCTCATCTGCCTCCCCTGCACAGGATATGGGCCCATACCATGAGAACACAGGGAATTTCAGTAGTGTCCTTTTCAAGAAGTGCCTATACTGGACATTTGTAGGGCAGCAACCTCTATTTCTTCTGCAAGTGCTGATCCCTATGTGTATTCCATGCATAGGTGATTGGTAAGCAGCATTCACAGGTGCAGGAGTGCGGGAGGGTGTTAAGATGCAGGTGCTATAGATGTCTGTAATTCTGGATCTGCAGAAGAGGTTTGGACTAAAGCATAATGCTTTGTGAAGGTATAGACGGAACTCTAGGTTACTTACCTGTAACTGGAGGATCTTTGAGATGTGTGGTCCCTATTTGTATTCCACTACCTGCCTTCCTTCTCCTCTGCTTTGGATCATTTCTGGATTCACAGTAGAGAAGGAACTAGAGATGTAGTCGGTCTGCACCACCTCTTACGACCTTGGCACTAAGGGCTGGTCTACACTGGGGGGGGGGGAAACGATCTAAGATATGCAAC